CCCAAGATCACCCAGCTGGCTTTGTGCCTAAGCGGGACTAGAACTCACAGTCTCCCAGTTTCTAGCCTGGTGCCTTAACCATTACACCATACTGGCTCTCAAGTAATGGTAGCATTACTTAGGGAGAATTATTAAAATGAAATTAGATTATCTCTGAGAGACACTGTTTTTGTTAGAGAATGATTCTGAATATTTTACTTGCATAAAGCCATTGAGGGAATATTTCTAAGGAGATATATTTTAAGAGCAAGGCACAAGGAAGCTGGAAATCCACTTCTGTGATGGTATGGCTAGCAGGAGAACTGGAGCAAGGAATCAAGGAACAAAGGTTTGACAAGATGTATCTTGTCTGCATGCTCCTATTTGCTTGCTGCATACAGTTCATTTGTAGCTCATGCTACAATTCTCTGTGAAACAGGAATGTACCACACATACAGCAGTATAATCCAATTAAATCTAACTAAATTAATCTGCTGCAGGATCTACTTCTGTCAGTGGAATATGGATGGTGAATCTCCTTACTACTGAATTCTCTTTTGCCATATGACATCAACATTATCTCTAGAGACAACTGGAGAATTGAAGAGACTTGGAAAGGCACGCAGGAAGAGCAGAGAGGAAAAGGGTCTCTTCAAGTAAGTGGACTCTGCAATATTGGATTTTGCCTAAAATAGGAAGATGTTATTAGACACCCCATGCAGCTGCCTGAAATGGAACCAGACTCCACAACAGCAGCCACCACACTACCACTGATACAACATAGAAAGCTTGCTAGGTTCATCAGTATCTTAAAGCAAGATAATACAGCTAGGAAAGCCAACAGCAGCAGCAGCAGCACTACAACAATCTAATAACATGAAGAAGCAGATTTGCCATCATTAGCAACACCTGAAAGAAAAGCAAACATTCACACTTATATGATGGTGTAATTAAAAAAAAGCTAGGGAAAGCAGGGCTTCTGTCCATTCCTTTACCAGCAATAGCCACAGGAGGCATCTGTATTTTATTTTGTGTAACGATGTAAAGTGTGGCATCAATGTGGCTTGTAGTATATGTGCACTGGGAAGTCCAGGGCAGGCTGTGTAAAGTCTGCTCTGGGTTATGTGACCAGGCTGGAGGGAAAGGAGAAGTGTTCAAGAATGGAGCAGTCAGCAGCATTCCCGGTTGCCACCCGATGGCCTCTTCCATAGCATCGTTTCTTTTCAACATTCCTTTGGGTTGGAAAGAATAGCAAGGGAACTTTTTTTTTATTAGATTGTGCTTTTTGGCACCTGCCAAAACATAAATCTATAAATCTGTTCTCAAGTTCTCTGATTATCTTAAACCAGGGGTGAAAGTGGAATAGAAAATGAGATCCTTGTTTTCAAATTAAATAAAGAACATAGAACGAAATACAGATTTTAAAATAATGCCAGAAATTTTGCCATTATTCTATTTCACTGTCTTATCCTCTTTCTGTTATGTCATTTGCCTCGTTTTTTATTGTTCAGACTCCTATAACTCAAGTCCTTCATTTGTGGAATAAATTATTTATGTGTTTGGTTTCTGCCTCTAATACCCCAATCTACTATGTCCCAAAGTTAGCAGTCTGAGACACCATCAAGGGTTCTATAAGATGCATTGCATGGGGAACAGGGAAGAATATAGATACAATATTATTGGATACTCACAAAGTTTGAATTGACTGGAGAGGAACAAAAAGTCCTTTGCTGATAGTCTGCAGTTTATTATCATAGAGAGATAACAAATTAAGATTATGCAGATCTTGAAATGTGTTTACTCTCAGGCAGTTGATCTTATTTGCATTGAGAAGCCTGTAAACAAACAGAAGGGTTTTTTTTTTTAAAATACATACAAGCTTGAAACCAAATCAAGTAAGACTGAACTAAGACATTAGCCTCAGACAAAATGCTACCCATGGTGGGGAATTATTAAAATCCTCAGCACTATTTATTTATTAGATTATTAACTAATTGCTTTGTAGCCCAAATGTTTCCAAAATGACTTGCAAGGTAAACATATGCAACAATTTTATGAACATAATACACCACCCATAAGAATGCAATGTTATTTAAAATATACAATCATAGGCAGACTAAAGAACTTTTAATGGTCTGCTTAAAACCAAACAAAGTAGGAGCCACTTTAATGTACCTAGAAAGGAAGTACCACAGTCTAGATTCTGTCACTGAAATAGTGTTGTCTGATGTTTCCACCAATTGCCCTACTCGTGGTAGTGGAACATGGATGTGAACATGAACTTTAAATTACATGCAGAACTGTATAAAACTCAATAATACTGTTAGATATCATATTCCCAAATCACTTAGGGCGTAACAGAGAAGCACCATCATGACCAATGCCCAGAAATAATTTGGTAATAAGGGCAGCTGGTATAAGGCTAAAGTAATGTGGTAAGTAAAATACATGCTAAAAAGCCATCTGACTGCACAGTACATCTCAGGCTTAATGAGAAGCAATTAAAGCATCGATCTCTGAGTCCAGATCAAACTTTACAGATGGGTAAATTGGTACACCAGCCAAATGGGGCAAGGTCATTTCTGGCCATAGGGGCCATAATGTTCTCTGTGCACAATGCCTGATCCAGAAATCTCCCAACTTTCTGGAGGGAGTGCCATATCATCCAGAATGGTCATTACCAGATCAGTTTCTCTGTTAAGGACCTCCATAGCAGCCGCTGAAAAAGCCAGATTGAGCTACGTAACTTCAGCTTAATTTCTTACATAGGTTATGGATCAAAGTCACTACTACACCAGACTAGCTCTCAAACTTATATTAGGTTACAAAATCCCCAAAATGGAATACTC